TTGATGTACATGTTTTATTTCCTTTAGCTATTTAGGATTAGTAGGACCTCATAATCAAAAAAACCAAACATAATTTTTTTTTAACAATTAGTAGTTTTAAACAAAAATGATGTCCTTATATGAGGACATAGGGTCTCAGGAGGTTAAACTGAATTACATTTAAAAAATTATATTTCCAGTTTGTTCAGCTATAGGCCTACTTGTATACAAAGCAACAATGGGCAGAGTTAGATGAGGCAAGGAGCAGGTTCTGATCACAGTGTGTTGCCGCACCCACCACACGACAAACCACCTCAGGGATGAGAACCTGAGTGCAGCCGTGTGGTGGGTGATACCTCAGCACCACACTAGTCCGAATAGACAAGTGTGAGGTTTTTTCCAGTAGCTGGAGTGCCAATCCTACCGCTAACCCCCAACTTTTTCCATGTAAGTTGGAGGACCTCCTTATAGAGCTGGATGTAGATTAACGACATGCCCAGGATGAAGCAACTGCAGGTTAAGGGCTTTGCTCAAGGGCCTGATGGAGTAAAATCACTCCAGGAATACATGGGATTTGAACCAGCAACCTTCCGATTGTTGGCACAGATCCCTAGCCTCAGAGCCACCACTCTACCCTTGGCATAGCCAGCATGTATAAAATGCAATACACTCACTGTATTCACAATAAAACAAGCACAATAATATCAGCAGTATCCCTGTTACTTAACAAATAGCATTAGAAGGGTTTGTTTCCTCTGAAGTAGTAGGTGGCCATCTTTGGTGATCAAAAAGCGACAACTGGAGGTGGTCTCAACAGGGAAACTTGATAATTGATTGGCAGCGAATGAACAAAGTCTCTCAGGAACTCGGGAAGGAGACACTCGGGCAAAAGTAGCCGCTGCTGTCGCCCTCAGCACGCCCTGCATGTCCCTGATATGAAAAGGTTTTCAGGTTACATGAGCGATTCAGCCATTTTGACAGATCTTGGAATTTTGTTCTACCAGCTCTGAAGGGCAGCTGAGTACAAATATGGAAATTTCAAGCAGTGGTCATTAATTAAGCAGTGATTACTGGCAGGAATGCTGCTAGAGATTTGGGGCCTCGAGAAAGCAACCCAACCCAACCCAGACCAATCCAGTAATGCTCCAAATTTGTCCTACGAACACCCCCCACCCCCCTTTACAGCTCCCCTGGTTACTGGTCCCTCACTGGAAGTTCAGCCTAGCAGCACTGGTACCTCAGTTGGCCCCTTGACAGCTGTATGCTTGTGATGTTTTATCATAGAATCAAACAAAACTGGTAACCAAACTGTTGCTGTTACACTGTCCTGTGCAGCACAACACAATAATTATTATTTCAGCAAGTAATGTGTTGCCATTATTATTATTATTATTATTATTATTATTATTATTATTAGTAGTAGTATTATTATTATTATTATTATTATTATTATTATCTTATTCCATTCTAAACCTAAAATTAGCTACATCAGAAACATAGTTGGCCAACCCTACAGACTATTTACAAGATAATTCACTCTTACATACATGTGAATTTGTGTGCAGGTTTGTCTCAAATTGAAAATCTCACTCCAGCCAGCTGACCAAAGTTGGCATCCCTGTAATATTATTATTATCATTATTGTTGTTGTTGTCTTGTACAAAACATTGACAGTGGAATTTCTGATTTTGTTTTAATTTGGAAATTCCCCAAGAGCATGATGTATTCTTCAGCTACTACAGCCCATAGCAGTAAGACTGAGAAAATGGAGATACAGAAAACAGTGAGAAGAGGAACCGAATGCAGCCCCCCCCCCTCCTCACATCCTGCCCAAAAAACATAATTACCCTCTCTGAGCTCCACAGCCTCGCACCTGTCTCCTCCAGCCTCCAGGGACACAATTACTCACCTTGAAAAATCAGTACATTTATTATTTGGTTTACAAAGCAAAGTAGCATTTTATTAATCTCATGTTACATGTGCAAATAGGTCCAGAATTTGAAAATGCTGCATGTGAAATGGCAAAGCCAAATTTTCTACAATTTAGCTATACTGATAAGATTAAGCTGTTTAACTTTATTAATTTATTAATTATTAAGCAATAATTCACATACTGGGATCATAAAGGGTTTTGATACCTTAATGGAGCAAAGAAATCTGTGTATACCATCCTCTCAATCACCATAGTGAATACTTACACTGAGCAGGATATTTCAGGCTCCATTCTTTCATATAAATGGTTTTTTGTTTGCTTTTACCCTCTTTGTTACACATTGGTGACCATGTGAGTTTTAAAGAAACAAATAAAAACTGTGTAAAGACCCGCATGCTTTTGCAGACCACTCTAATATTGCTAAGGCTCATGGTGCACGACACTGTCCTTTGAGCGGAGTGATCTGCTAGCACAGCTCAGCAAACATCTCCGCTCTTCATTTGCATATGTTCTGTAAGCTTGGGCTGTTCTTCACCCAGNTTATTATTATTATTATTATTATTATTATTATCTTATTCCATTCTAAACCTAAAATTAGCTACATCAGAAACATAGTTGGCCAACCCTACAGACTATTTACAAGATAATTCACTCTTACATACAGTACATGTCAATTTATGTGCAGGTTTGTCTCAAATTGAAAATCTCACTCCAGCCAGCTGACCAAAGTTGGCATCCCTGTAATATTATTAATATCATTATTGTTGCTGTTGTCTTGTACAAAACATCCATTGACAGTGGCATTTATGATTTTGTTTTAATTTGGAAATTCCCCAAGAGCATGATGTATTCTTCAGCTACTACAGCCCATAGCAGTAAGACTGAGAAAATGCAGATACAGAAAACAGTGAGAAGAGGAACCGAAAGCAGCCCCCCCCTCCACACATCCTGCCCAAAAAACATAATTACCCTCTCTGAGCTCCACAGCCTCACACCTGTCTCCTCCAGCCCCCAGGGACACAATTACTCACCTTGAAAAATCAATACATTTATTATTTGGTTTATAAAGCAAAGTAGCATTTTATTAATCTCATGTTACCTGTGCAAATAGGTCCAGAATTTGAAAATGCTGCATGTGAAATGGCAAAGCCAAATTTTCTACAATTTAGCTATACTGATAAGATTAAGCTGTTTAACTTTATTAATTTATTAATTATTAAGCAATAATTCACATACTGGGATCATAAAGGGTTTTGATACCTTAATGCTCAAGATATAGCTTTTCTAATCCTTAATGGAGCAAAGAAATCTGTGTATACCATCCTCTCAATCACCATAGTGAATACTTACACTGAGCAAGATTTTTCTGGCTCCATTCTTTCATATAAATGGTTTTTTGTTTGCTTTTACCCTCTTTGTTACACATTGGTGACCATGTGAGTTTTAAAGAGACAAATAAAAACTGTGTAAAGACCCGCATGCTTTTGCAGACCACTCTAATATTGCTAAGGCCCATGGTGCACGACACTGTCCTTTGAGCGGAGTGATCTGCTAGCACAGCTCAGCAAACATCTCTGCTCTTCATTTGCATATGTTCTGTAAGCTTGGGCTGCTCTTCACCCAGCATGGTGGTGGGGGGGGGGGGGTTGATCGCCTAAACTCTAGCAGTTAGACTGAGAAGCTGCACAGAAACAGGTAGGTGCGGAGGATGTGAAAACTGGACACCCTCCTACTGACTTTTCAGAAGCCGCAGCTGTGACACCTGGCCCCCTGACCCCCCCAGTCTCATTCTCAAAAATGTTCAAACAGACAAAAATATGTCCCCGTACATTTTCACTCTATAGATTTATGAGATAAAGTTTTAAATTTGGATAACTTCAGTGTTTCCCGCTGGGTTGAAACAATGGGTTACAGGGCTGTATTTCATGAGGCACACTGAAGAGGAGTAGATAAAACACTTAGGATGTATTTAACACAATTCAACTAAAGCTTCCCATTCCATTCAACATCTATGACTATTAATTCAGTGCTGGACACCTTTGAAACACCAGTTCACCTAAAACATTGGCCTTCAGAACTTGGGTGGGGTCCACATCACTAAGAAACTTGTTTCAGAACCAGAGCAGAAATGAAGCCCCCAGTCCTGGGCGTGTGAGGCTACATTACCCACTGAGG